CATTCCTCCCCTCCCCCTCCCCCTTCTTTCCTCTTGCCCTCCCGCCGCCATTCCACGATACGTCAACCATTTTGATGTCTCCATTGCAGCTCACGGACCGGCACGCCGCACCGGCTCGACCGCCTGGCTGCTTGCTGGCCCCGACACTGCCGCCGCCGCCGCCACCGCTACCACTACAGAGGCCGCCGCGTCCGCCAGTCTGACGTTCTCGTGTCTCAATATACAGACGCTTAAATTCCTTTCTCCAACTACCAGCTCTCCGAAGCATGTGCAAATGGTGGGGGTGATTTCTCGGTAGAGGAACAGTGGTCTTTGTTCACTTCTCAGAGAAGGATTTAGAAATAGATTTTCTATTATAGAGAGGAAATACATTTGATCGTCATACGCGTGAAGCTTCAGTGGGCCTATGTTATACTTCGAAAATACCTAAGAGATGTAACCAGGTTACCCAAAGACCTCTCAAATGGATATCTTGTGGTAATCCATAATGTTGTGGTTTTAAAGTCGCTATAAATGTAAATTTCCTTTATATTTTAAAATTCTGTATATTTAATTACAAATAATGTGAGAGGGATTGGTTCAGAAAAACGCTAAGAAAAAATAGTCTAACCTCAATAAGTAATAAATTGTTCACAATACTAAAGATAAGCATCAGAACTTTCAGATTATTGATGTCCTTTTTGTGGAACGTATTTTTAAAATGTTTAATTGATCGTTATTGGTTTTGAAGCTCATGAAGGTTCAAAAGTTTACTTCGTGTTGTTTGAAACTTACAGTTATAGTTGTAATCAATTATAGTTAAAGAGAATATTAGCTAGTCTGAGTGATATATTTAAACATGTATTTAGAACTTTTACAACATAGATAACTAAGAACAAAAGTGCTTCATAAATTTTTGTTTTAAGAAGCTTCCCTGAAGTTCAGTAGTCAGGAAACTATTATACAATGAATATTAGTAGCGACCAGGAACACGAGGCTTTCCTTCCTAATAAAAAATCCTGACACATATATTCATAACACTATCGGCATGTGTTCACAGAGAAAAATTGTCTGCAGTAGCCCATTTTTATAATTATTGTATCATACCTGATGGGGAAGCATGTCAAAATCCAACCTATTCTGAATATCCCTGATTAGTAAATTACTTTGTTAATCTTCGCTCTCAAAATTAAGAGGCTATTGGGAACAGAAAGCAAGAAACCTGTGCTACAGATTCAATTGTTTAATGTCATCTTACAGTGCGTTGCGAACTAAAGTACTACATGTATTATACGTGGATTTATTGTATTAGCAGTTGATACAGGTGATTAATATGCCGCTTAGTTTTGCCAAGTATGTGGCAGATAAGAGTTAATATATGCATTAAAAGCATTGTAACTAGAAGTTAGTGAGTTTTAATCTCTGTTCAGTTCTTACGATATTTCAAGATTCGTTAACAATGGTAGGCAAGACGTGTCGCGATGATTGATTCAAATTTCTACCGGTCTTACCATTAACGACGAACTTCAGGAAATTTGAAATCTCTCAAAGTAAGTGATTTAATACATTCCAAAGACGAGCTGAAAATTAATTTTGTTAACCGGTTTTACTGACTTTCATTGAAAGTTTTCTTCAGAGCTTATATGACCGAGACATCCCAACTTTCATCTTCATATACTGTGGACGTCGCTTATTGTTATCATGGTTATTGTTATCATTCGGCTTATGGTATATATCAGTGTAATGATGTTCCTGTCCGGATTAATATTACATTAAGAAAACGACATTTATTGAGATCAGAATTTATCAGTTACGCAGTTTTTGGTGCTCATGTGTCGTGACTCGCAAAAGATCTAACATACTTTTTTACATTCTGCTGCGCCACAAAGACATTTATCAATTGCGCGTTGACCGTAAATCCATTCGTTTATCCGTAAATCTTCTGTTAAATTTTGTCTTGCTTCAATGTTGCAGTCAGTCATTGCCTTTTATCCCTTCGGCCACAGGGTTGGCGCTATTAGTAACCTGGGTTCCCAAATGATCACCCATTCAGGAGTCCGAGGTGCCACTAGTTGCTTAACATCCGTGACTTCACAGAGTTTAGCTATTCAGGCAACAACGCCGGCATTTGATAGTCGCACTGACGAAAACCTGTGTCCTCCACCACCGAATACCACGGAAAACGAATTTCGGGAATGGTTATGGATGAGAGCATAACTACGTCTTCAGAACACGTAAACTTGAGTGAAGGTGACAGAAGAGGGATTATCACTGCCACCTCACGCGATTAAAACATTCACTACACTTACGGACTAATCAACTTAGCAGATGATGCGGAATCACTAATCTATCATTAATTTCCGTATTATTTTTAATAGTACTGGTAATTATTATGTTTTTAAATTTATGTTTTGTAGAAGTGTTGTATGTTGAACATTTGATGGAGTAACTACTAACTAAATAAATAACTGAATAAAATTTAATAAATATATTTATCTCATTTCCATTTAAACTCCAAATAGACATTTAATATCAGTGCTGAACTATTTGTGTTCCCAAGAATACCAACACAAATTATTCAACGCGTCTGGATAAACAAGACAGCATTGGCCAATTTAGGAGTTGGTTCAGAACGACAGGGAGGAAACCCTGCAAACTAGTGAGCTGTTGATTCTGTCATCTGATGAATATGATTACTACCTCGAGTGTTATACTTATGAACATCGGCTATGAGTTTGCTGGAAATATATTCTCGCCCTTAAGTAAGCCATTTTTGACAAAATTTTTCAATCAAGAGACAAGGTAATGGTAAAATATCTAGATTAAAAAAGAGAGGATTACATGAATCATGTGGGTGGGATTTGATTACCAATCGTTCAATTATTTTTTTTAACCTAAAAGCCTGGGAGATATCTATGCAGTTATCCAGAATATTATGCCATATCTCAGGCGGGAATGAACATTCGCGAAATACACGCAACGAATTTTATTTATTTTCTCTTTTTAGGATGGAGGAAAAATAAATAAAATGCTTATTTGTAGTGTATGGAGAACTTTATAAGAACTGTGCAACTGAACTACTAATTATTAAAACACAACTTGTCGAAATGAAACATTTATTGCACTGGTAACTACGATGTATATCACATGTTAATATAGCTGTAATTTTCACTTTAAGGAACTTGCAAAATCGGTAATTTTCTTGTGCCGTAAGGAACTGACTCTGCTTGATGATGCGATTGCTACGCTACGTTGCCATTTTCTCACATCGCTGCGTTGCATTGTTTCTGGTAATCCCATAGATGCATTTGAATATGTACCATTCATTTTTTCGGATAAACATATCCGAATACAAATAATCCGTACATTTCCGAGTCAAACAAGAATTGTTTGATGATCATAAAATTGCTGCATAAATTAAGCATCACTTCAGCCAAAAATCAGTTTGCAAAAATAACATTAAATAATATTTATTTGTTATTTTCTAAAAAGTAGCAAAAATGCTGTAAATGGGTAGATTATGGGATTTGTGGCACCCATAAACCCATTTTAAAAACGGTTTTATTGCTGCCGATGTTCTAGCATCGAAAACTATCTTTTTTCGCCTAGCTATTGAAGATAATATATTTTACTTCTATGTCTATTCTAAAACGTTTTGAATGTCGTAGTGGAAAGACATCATGACGTATATTACGAAGTGGCGTATATTTATGTTAAAATAACATAAAGTCGAAACCGTCGTACAAAAGAGAGCTATTACATTAGAGTTCATTACATTTTACCGAGAGAAAAAGCAAAGTGGCGATTCAATTCTGCACATTCAACTCACTGTTCTCTAACCATTTAAAGACCGAGATTTCAAACAAGTTATTTAATAAAATATAAACCTCATTAATAAAATAAGAAATTCATATTAACTAATATAAATAATTACTGAGGACCAACAAATTGAAATTAATCTTTTATTTTTCGCCATAATGAAAAGACATCTTTCATCATATTATTCGGTTGGCGTCACGAACTATGTGACCACTGCCGGTCATGTTCCACCGAGAGCGAGCAATTTGAGAAACATTTAGAAGATGGCATCGAGTGACAATTTTCAACGTTGACCAACCAAATATAACTGGAAGAAAGTGTACAAGATACGTTATTTAAAATTAATCAGTTACAATGATTTGTAACAAAGTTTTTTTGGTATGTGACTGCATTTAAAATTCCCGCTAATATGGTGACGCAAACTGCTGCCTGCTCATTGGCTGATGTCGGATTCGAAGTGCTCATACATATCTTTCCAGCATTGTAACAAATCAATCATTCAATTAATCGATACAACTATTCTTAATTATCGATGAGTTATCGTTTTCGAGAAATCGCTGCCTTAAGGTTGATTGTCGTGAACAGGAAACGTGGGTTACTAATTGTGCATATAATTTATATCTTGTCAACGTGTTACGTGTAGTGTACACCAGGTATGTTACTGTAATTTACTACTATAATACAATTATCATTCGGTACATATTATTATATACTTATATAACGTTTTATGTCACTTTGATTTTCAGAAGTTGCAAAATGTCGAAAGTACCTAACCAAAGTGATAGTTCAGATGATGATTCATCCAAGAAGGAATTTCATATCGGAAAAGAAAAACAGTACGATAGGGACAGTACTAAAAAAGCGAAAGAAACTTCCAATACTGGAAACAAACATAAGGACGAGCCAACAGCGTCCACATCTCGCCAACAAGATCCCACCACAAGGCTTACAAATCCTTACCAAGACATATTAGATTCCGGTGAGGACCCTAAGAAAATGGAACTGAAGATATTGGAACGCTACCACAAGGACCTACAAAGAAAAGAACACATGCTGCAAAAACAAAGAGAGTTGGATGCTAGCAATTCTTCCAAGAGGGGCTTAGATGGTGGTAAAATCGGTGCTTCACGTGAACCCGCTGAATCGGGAAGCGAGTTAAAAAAGAACAAGAAGAATGATTTGCCGAAATCTCAGCAGAAGCCAGAGACTCCCCCAGAGGTGCGCCGGCACAGGGCGGTCGCCCGCTGGCGATGTGCCATCAAAAAAGTAATCCACGCCACAAGGAATGCAAAAGAAGAATGAACTGCAGTTTCATTATTTGTGTGTTATGTGCTTTCCTTCTTGTGTGTTGTTTTTATTATATGTTTTGTATCAGTTTTTATAACCTTTTTCTAGTTTTTTGGAGCATAGTTATGTTATTTTGTACCATGTTTTGTGATCTTGTTTTATATGACCTAGGAATGTTAAGAATTCTAAAACTTTTCATGATAATTATTCCTAAGAAGTATCCAAAAATCTTTAATATAAATTTGATGCTGTAATGATGTTAATTTTTTAAATTGTATTTTTCAATCCTTTTTTTAAAAAATCTTTGATTCATGACTTTATTTGATAAATCTTGCAATTAACTTTAGTTAGCAGTGAGCATAATATCACATTTTGAGTTATTATCATGTATGTCACTACCTCAAACACTCACTCAAATTCTGCATATTCAAGAAAAATTTATCAGGAAGAAAAAGAAAGCCTTGCTATAGTTTTCCATAATTCTTGGTATTTCCTCTTTTTATAATCATAATCAAGTTTGAGAAACAAATCCAACTTCCTAACAATGAAGTTTATTTCTGTAGGTGTAATTATGATCTAAATAACTTGCCTAAGAATGTGAAGAAAAGGTCAGCTCATGTCTTAAAATAATTTTTCAAGATATTCCATTCAGTAAAGAATAGAACATATCATACTTTTACTCAACTTTTACACTAGTAAAGAAAAAATAATAAACTTAAAATGAAATCCTTTCTTCAGATATCTTGCACAAAGTGACTTGGATTTGTAAAATAGGCTTATTTCATAGAAAACAAACTTGATTTGTTCCATCCATTACATTATGGATTCAGATTTTAGTTGAAAATTTTCTATGCAAAATAAATATTTTCAAGAAGAATATATCACAAGTGTAATTAAAACTATGCCTATATACAACTATAACAAAAGGCAATACACTCAAAGAGGAAGGGAAATTACAATATAATCTTCCTTCAAATTGAAACACATAATAAATAAATATATGCATAGGTACATCAGTCAGGGAAAGAGATTCTCTCCACAGGACACTTTCCTAGCATTTAGAACAATACTTAACAAAATTGACACTAAAGTAACATTTAAGGTAGTAAGTTGTAATATACAAACATGCAAAATTTAAAAATATTGTTTTACAACATATTTGTATTTTATATTGTATATTGTATTTTTTTCCTCCAGGTGCGTTTTCCAACTTCAGGGAATGTTGATTTGAACTTTCAACGCCGGGGACCCAATATGACCCTCATGGGTCGCATATTAACCTTTAGACACACTTGCGGGCTCCTCGGTCTGTGGTCAGCTGACTTACAAGATATATTTCCCTATGTGTAATTATTATTAATTAATATTCAAACCACGAAGGAATTCAGAAAGGTTCCAAACTGTGACAGCACAACTTTAGAATCAATAGCTGACTAAAAGTACTTTATTATCAATTATCAATTATATATATATATATATATATATACAGAACTAGTGCACATCCAAAACAACATTTGCACCATGCAAGTTCATGTATTTTTAACCATTTCTTAACAAAAGTTAATTTTTTAATTTTAAAAACAAAACCTTTCAATGATGTTATTGTTTAGTTTTTTATGCACTATTTCCCATTATTTTATTTTATAACGAGGAAAGATTCATATTTCTCTCTTACATAGAATTGGAGATATCATGTTTTTTGCTTTCCAGCGACAGTAAGAATGCAATTTTCTGTAAAATGTCTAGAAAGTTTATCATGCATAAAACTTCAGTAATTCGTTCTTTTTATAAGTCTACATATTTTCTTCCTTTGTTTTCCTCCTTCTTAAATATTCTATTCCTATTTCAGTTTTTTTGTTTTGCTTTTGATTTAGCTTAATTTTTTTATTATCTTTTTTCACACTTCCAGTTCGAAGACTGGGTGTTGCTCGAAATGTACACAAAACAAAGGAACATAGATAATAATAAAAATTATTAATAATAATAGCCATACAAAATAAAACAAATCAAAGGTTCGTAGAAAACGTATTTCGCCATATGAAAGAGCGTATAACACTGTTTATGACAAGGTTGAAACCAAAAATGAACTACCTGTAATTTTTCGTTCTTGGGGAGTATTAGAAACTATCTTAAATTCATAGGAGAATAGGGCAGTCTTTTCTTTTCTACAAAGAAGTGAAAACTATGGTGATACTGCAGACTGGGCTGATAGGTCGTGGTCCAATTGAGTAACAAATCTATAACATGTTTCGTATGCACCTGCGGCAAACAGTGCATTTGTTCCTTCCTTCATTATGGGGGATCGGTTTCATATGTTTAAAAAACATTCTGAAGGATATCCTAATGAGATGTCAGTAGATGTGCAACAAAAATTAAACCCATTTATTGAAAAAGAAGCAGTGTAATCTCCATATGGAAAGGAAGCAATTCTCAGTAGGCTTGTGTTGGGCACGTGTCTCTTTCAGAACATGACTGTGAATTCGCCATAAAAGAGTAGTTTTTAACGCCATAATTGCGCGCGCCGCCATTTTGATACAAACTACCTAACGAAACTACGCTATGAGCCAGACCAGAAAATAGGTCTTTCACAGTCCTTTTATGGACGCTCGCGTCTATACTCCGATTTAAACGTAGTGGCACTTGAGGATAGGGAGCTGAAGAAGAGGCGGACATTGTCAGCCAATCGGGAGCTCCAGTACCAAAATTTAAAGTTGTAACGAAGCCACCGTTTGAATGACTGTGTCCGGCCAGCTCGAGATCTTGAATTGCCAATGAGTAGAAATCGGAGTTAATACTAGGATTTATTTAACCATGCACTTCTAAATTAGCTGTTCACGATTACATGCATTTGGGAGCTTGAACGTTGCCATACTGACGTCACTGTAGCGACATATAAGCTCCTAATTGGATGAAACCGCAACAGCTGATTTACGTCATTTGCATAACTAAAAATCGTACTTTAGTTCTCCGAAGGCCAAGTATAGCGCTGAAACTGCCCCGTAATATGTCGTCGCACCCTGCGAAGCCATCTATCGGAGGTTTCGCGTACTATACAAATACCTTGCAGTCGATTGCAGTTAAAGTTTGTAAAGCCGAGAGCAGAGTACATGTTCCGACATGCTCTTCAATTTTCGTTAGCGAGCGACACGTGATAGCAGATGCTCTTGCTACAAAGACATGGCGTATTGAGGGCATTGTGATTTCGTGTTTTGGCAGGTATCAGCTGTTGACTGTTTCATAAAATCGGGAGCTGGAACGTCACCATAGTGACGTCAGTATGGTGACATTTAAGCTCCCGATTGGATGAAACTGTCAACAGCTGACATCTGCCAGAGGCAGAGTTGCGAATATCGCAGTATAGAGATGGAGACATTGCACCTCAAATTGTGACGTCATCGTTCGAGTCGGAGCCGCCACGAAGAACGTTGTGTATGATAGCAAATTTTCAATGTTCACTGTAAGAACAAAATCAACCGCCAAATTCGTATTAATCAACTGTTAAATGGTACAAATGTGGAAGAAAAGCAAGTTTATTACATCTGATTTTAATACCGCAGTTTATTTTTTTGTAGGTTATTCTATGTTTATAATAATCTCTCCCTACATCACATACAGTTTTTACTGTTTTTTGACTGAATAAATCTAAATCTAAATCTAGAAGTATAACCATTTTCCGGTTTCTTAAAGTAGCCTATTTTAAATATTGCTGTTTTAAGCCACATAATGATTGTGAGAAAAGATGTCTGTAAATGTTATAAATGATGCTGAAATGGTCATCGAAGGTAAGCACTGATTAAATAATCACACACCTTACTCAACATTAACATCTAGAAACATCGAAACACAAACCAGTGTTAACACTTAACACGTTTTGGCAAAAAAGGACGCAAATATTAAACATCCCCTGACTGCACGGTGGCAAACACTCCGACCCGAAAGTTGACGCCACTGATGCATCACGTGGTCAAGTGCAGTGCCAGTTATTTTAGTCTGTCTTGATTGTACTAATTCGAAAGCCAAAACTGTGGTGAAAATGTCGACCATTCACTTAGAAAAAATGCAGAAAGCAAAGAACAGATTTCAGTTTTGTGGGTAGAACCATTGTTGGCTGGTACAATTTACCTTCAGAGTGACCTTTCCCAGTAGCGCGCAAGTTATAATTTCGAGAGTTGAGGTGCAGTGTCATTGTTTAGGATATGGAAACGCCAAGAAAAGTGGGGACAAATTGCAATGAATATACTTGACAATATATAAAAACTGGTTACATAACCATGCAGAGAAGAGATGCGTACGGAGAAGACATGTCATTTTTAATCTATTTTATATCTATTTTTGTACTTTTCTGTTCTGTTCTATTTTTGTTTGTTTATTTGTATTATCTTTTTTAATGATTGTATGTGTTGTTAATTTTTATTTTTATTTTCGTTCTGTCTCTTGATTAATTGCCAATGAGCGCACGCATTTTTGCAATAAGTTGTTTTTGTTGTTGCTGACACTTTGACCCTTTATGGTTTTTACAAATTTTATCACATAATGAGTCACTATAATAATAACTAATTTAAAACAATAGAGTCACATAACTATGCGTTCAGAAGAAGAAAAAGTATTATCCCACTCACCTACAATAGGTAAGGAGAAAGATCTTTAAATTATGTAATACTAAAATTATACAATGAACTGCCACTAGATCTAAAACTGTGTCCAAACTTAAATAAATTCAAAACAGAACTGAAAATGTGGTTACAAAACAATTAAATAGGCCAATAAATAAATACCTTGATGAGATAACATAAGGACTGCAGAAAACCAATATTATGTGTAAACACTGTATTTAAGATTGTTACATAATTATTTTGTGTTATTTTTGGCATACGTACTGGTATGTGTTATACCAAAGTGACTATATTAGAAATAAGAACATAAAGCTACCTATGTGATTGTATATTTTAATTAAAAATATACTGTTATATAAACTGTAAGTATAAGGACTTAAAGCAAAATTTAAAACAATTTAT